GAACTAATCCCACATGTCGTAGGGCAACTAACCCTGAGCACCACAACTACTGAAGCCTAGAGCCCGTGCTTCGCAACAAGAGAACCCACCGCAATGAGAAGCCCATGCACCACGACTAAGCCCTTGCACAGCAACAAAGAGCCCGTGTGCCACAAAGAAGGCCCAGCACAGCCAAAAATAACTAACAGAAAAGAACTTATTGCCAGGAAGGAAACTCAGACCCTCCTGCAGGGTCATTCTCCTGGTAGGATTAGACCCTAGGTTGAATGCTCTTTAAACTGAGACCCTGTATTAGTAAACATTAGTCTCAACCCCTGGAAAAGACCCTGATGCTGGGAAAGATTGAAGGCAGGAGGAGAAGGGGATGACAGAGGATGAGATGGTTGGATGGCATCACCAACTCGATGAACATGAGTTTGAGCAAGCTCCGGGGGTTTGTGATGGACAGGGGAGGCTGGTGTGCTGCAGTCCATAGGGTCACAAAGAGTTGGACACGACTGAGTGACTGAACTGAACTGAACTGGTCTCAACCCCTGGTGGCTCACTTGCTAAAGAATCCACGTACAATGTAGGTAGACCCAAGTTTGATTCCTGGGTCAGGAAGATCTCCTGGAGAAGGGAATGACAATCCACTCCTGTATTCTTGCCTGGAGAATCCCATGGACAGAGGAACCTGGCGGGCTACAGTCCACGGGGTCACAAAGAGTCAAACACGGCTAAGCACACACAGCCTCAACTGTGAATAAGTAAAAAACCCCAAAGCTCAGTGGCCTGAACAAGACAGTGTTTGTCTCTCTCACGTCCCCATGGAGGATGGAGTTGGTGAGTTCTGGGCAGTTACAGGGGCCTTGAGAGGCCCAGCCACTTCCATCTTGCAGCTCTGCTGTATGTGCTTTGGCTGCCAAGGTCTCCTTGGGTATTGCATCTCTAGTTCAGCAACAGGGACAGAAAAGCGAGAAGGGGACAGTCCCTCTTTTTAAAGGCACTTCCTGGAAGCTGTAGCCACCCCTTCTGCTTACTTTCCATTGACCAGAATGTGGCTATCATTTGCAGGGGGGTGGGCGGGCATTTTTGTGGTTACAAGGATGGGGGCGGGGAGGATGTGACTGGAGTTTACAGACCAATGATGCTAGACATCCTGAAATGTGACCAATAGTCCCACACCACAAAGAGTTTCTGCAAGTTCCCAGGGGGTATTGAGGTTTATAATTATCTACGCTGAAAAAGACCCTGATGCTGGGAAAGATTGAAGGCAAGAGGAGAAGGGGACAACAGAGGATGAGATGGTTGGATGGTATCACCGACTCAAAGGATGTGAGTTTGAACAAGCTCTGGGAGTTAGTGATGGACAGGGAGGCCTAGCGTGCTGCAGTCCATGGGGTTGCAAAGAGTTGGACATGACTGAGTGACTGAACTGAACTGAACTGAAGCTTAGAAATTAACTCCTTTTGACATAATTTACCAAAAACTACACGTGGTATTTTTTGAACTACTTAAATATACATTGAAATTTTCAAGCGTGCAATGATCAAGTTTTTTTTTTTCAGAACTGTACCAAGGCTTGTTCCCAATTTCAGAAATATGTCAACCATGACAGCTCCCTTCATTGTTGCCATTGGAAAAATTCAGCCTTTGTCTGGTGCCACATTCAGAGGGATTTATGTCTGTGTGCCAGCTTCCGGGGTTCTTCTTTCATCTTCTGAGAGACATGACTGAGCGTTTACAATATGTTAAGTGTAATATTTAGTTATAAGTTACTTTCCCTCTAGTTTCTCTTTAAAGTAATTTATGGATTTTTTAAAAGTCTATAGATGTAATTTTAGGAGAATAAAGGAAAGTTACAAAGCATTTGTAGAGAAAGAAATGGCAACCTACTCCAGTATTCTTGTCTGATTTCCTGACTTCCGTGAGCCCATGGATAGAGGAGCCTGGACGGGTACAGTCCGTGGGGCCGCAGAGTCGGACACGACTGAACGACTAAACAGCGACAAGGCATTTGTCATCGAAGGAGCTGCTGGGTGTGATGGGGAGACCACTAACAGATGCACAGCCTCAGAGCCACGAAGGCTGACCTTGACCTACATCTGCTTCCTGAGCATCTTCACCTCATTTACAAAGACTCCTGCCAACCAGCCTCTGCTCTCAGTTGACTGTGGGTCCCAAGCCCAGACCCAGCTCTCAAAACTCGCCCCCATCAGCACAGACCATGTGGTTTCCCATGCTGCGGACACAGACTCCCCCAGGAAGGTTTGTGACAATTCAACACAGTCATTTTGTCACCGGGGACATTCCGACATACTTGCTTTCCTTTTGGTTTGATGCATATCATTTTGATATGGGCGGAAATTAAGCTTTCAGCTATTTCTATCACCAAGTAACAAAGGAAACAGATACTCTGTCCTCTTGCCTCAGCCCCGCCTGTAACTCCTGCCATGCCAACCCCACCACCTGCTGGAAAACAGGGTGCTTGTGTCTCAGAGACGGGCTGAAGGTCAGGAAGTTCTGCTGGACCAACTTCTTGGTAATAAAAAAGTCTGTTTTTAGATTTTGTTATGAGTCTTCCTGGTATAGAACAGCCCTCCAAAACAGCCTCACCAAAATGACTTTCTCAAAAATTCCATTTCACTCCAAAGACCAGAAGAAATAGGGCTAAGAAAGGGAGCATACTAGAAAGGACCACCCTGGCCGGCCCCGGATAAACAGAAAGCACCCAGAAGGCTCAGCACAGGTGATGACATGACCAGCTCTTCCCACCGCACCTGTCACTGCCTCTTCCCTGCCTTTAGACGAGAGTGATAGCCCTGGGGCCCGCATGGGACACCACAGCCCTGAAAAGAGAAATCAGCCAGACTGCTTTAGATGAGTATGGTCTCAGCCCCAAGGCTTGCCTTTCATTGGTCTGGGGTGGGCCTGGGCACTGATACATATTTCTATACATATTTCTCAGCACCCCCTCGGGGATCTGAAACCCATACCACCCGTAATCTGCACCATGGCTCCTCTTAACAGCTCTCAGCAACATGCCTTTATTTTGGCATTTCCCATTTCTTCTAGCTCCAGAAAGATGTGTGTGTGTGCTAAGTCCCTTCAGTCATGTCTGACTCTGCAACCCTATGGACCATAGCCCACCAGGCTCCTCGGCCCATGGGATTCTCCAGGCAAGAACACTGGAGTGGGCTGCCATTCCCTCCTCCAGGGGATCTTCCCGACCCAGGGATCAAACCCACGTCTCTTTTGTCTCCTGCATTGAGCTCTTTATCACAAGCACCATCTGGGAAACCCAGGGAGAAGGCTTTGGGGATGGACTGCAAAGCAAAAATGTTCATTACTCCTTAATAAGATGAATGTAAGTCACCCACAGTCTGTCCTCCTGTGTCTGCCCTGATTCCTGCCCTGATGGGTCTTGGTGTGCCATCCCTTTCTTCTCTTCAAACTGATATCTGATAAGTCACCGTATTTTGAAAGACAACCTGGTAAACAAACAGGGTTTTTTTGTTTTTTTGGTAGGAAGAGGATGCTGTTCCACCCACCCAGCTATAAGTCAAAGTTATTTTCCCTTTGTTTTATATTCAAGGTCAAATAAAAGCACTTACAGCACCTGTTATGGAAAGAATTATGTCCCCCCAAAATAGATACGTTCAAGTCCTAATCCCAAGCAATTCTGAATGTGACCTTATTTGGAAATAGGATTGTTAGAAAAGTAATTAGTTAAATCACGACATGGTCATACGAGTAATCTGATATGACTTGTGTCCTTCTGAGAAGATGACCTTGTGAAGACAGACACGCACATGGACAATGTCACATGAAGATGGAGGGTTGGCCAAGGGACACCCAGGACTTCTGGCAAGCTCAGAAGCTGAGCAAAAGGCCCAGGACAGATTGTCCTACAGAGTCCCTGAGTGAGCATAGCCCTGCCAACACCTTGGTCTTGGACCTGTGGTCTCCAGAAGAGCGTACGTTTCTGCTGTAAGTCACCCACCTCATGGTGCTTTTATACAAGAGCTGAGGGAAGGGAATGCAAACAAAGTTATCATGACCACTTTTGTTTGTTTGAAAAAGGCAGTGGGTTGTGACGGCTGAGGGCGCAGACTTCTGTGTCAAGCCACCTGGCTTCCTGTGACTTCCTACGTGGCTTTTCTCATGTGGAAAATGAGAACCCTAAGACCCTAATGCAGAGAGTTATTATCATTGTTGTTTAGGTGCTCAGTCGTGTCTGACTCTTTGCGAGCTCATGGACTATAGCCCTCCAGGCTCCTCTGTCCATGGGAATTCCCCAGGCAAGAATACTAGAGTGGGTTGCCATTTCCTTCCCCAGGGGATCTTCCTGACCCAGGAATCGAACCAGGGTCTCCTGCATTGGCAGGCGGATTCTTTACAACTGAGCCACCAGGGAAGGCAGGCCCTGCCGAGAGCTGTTAGGAAACGTGAAACAGGTGATGTCTAAGAAGAACCCAGGCCCGGCACTCAGAGGTCCTCCCAAAGCACAGGGGCGACTGAGGGACAGGGCCTGGAGCAGGGAGCCAGGCTCTCTGTCCAGACAGAAGAGGGCAGAGGCCAGGCCAAGTGCCCCCTGCCCCGGGATGCTGTCAGGGTGAGGGCGGTGATATGCGGGGGCCCTTGGAGCGAGCGTCACATCACTGTTGTCAGGCTGCCATCGATTCATCACTGTTTCGGAGTTCCAAACCGATGGTGTTCAGAGCAATGCGGAGAGCGGTGTGCTGGGCCACAGTTCACACCCCAGGCATCTGGCTGACACGCAGACAACAGCAAACCCATTCACTTGGGTCTCACTGCTTAATTATCGCAACTTGGCACAGCTTCCAGTGCCTTGAGAGCCCTTGGACACGCACCATACGTTTTGGGCAGGAAGGCACGGCTGGCACGGGGACGGGCCCGTCAATCCCGCAGCTCTGCTCTGCTAAGTGGTGGATGCTCTCCAAACACTCGGTCCCAAATGCACAGGAAGCAAAAGCCTGACGCTCAGAGGCGCCAGGGCCATGCTCACCCGGGACCCACCTGCCAACCGTACCATCCTGCGTTCGTCACCAGTGGCAGTTTCTAGCCTGGCAGTGGAAAGAGACGAGGGGGCAGGGAGCCATCAGCTGGCGAGGTGTTTCGTGTGTGAGAAGGATTGGCCCAGGATACATAGGAGCCTAGAGCCCCTGACCTCCCAAGCCCAAGTGAAGAGCTGTGCGCCTGCCCGTCGTGAATGGCCCTTGACTGCGGGTCCTGAGCAGAGCTTGACTGAAGCCACGTCACCCACTCATTCATTCATTTGATCGACCAACCCGCATTTACCGAGCATCGTCTCTGTGCTCAGCCCTGATGACCCAGACATGATGGAGAAAGGGGGGCTCCTGAAAGGGAACATGGGTCTGGGCTCCCCCTATTCCAGAAGGATCCTTCACTGGACGCTTTAGGAGGCTGGAGGGAGCTGGCCCGGTTGCCAAGTTTGCTGATAACACTCATATCGACAAGAGTGTAGCAACCTCTATGATGGGCTGGGCAGACATGGAAGCCCAAGCTTCATTGGTGAATATTAGAAAGGTCTCAGCCCTCACAGAACTTATATTAAGTCCCCCAGGGAATGTGACATTTGCAACCTGAATATTTTCTAATCCTTCTTGTGTGTGTGTGTGCTCAGTCATGTCTGACTCTTTGCAACCCCATGGACTGTAGCTCGCCAGGTTCCTCTGTCCGTGGGTTTCTCCAGTCAAGAATACTAGAGTGGGTTGCCATTTCCTTCTCCAGAGGATCTTCCCGACCCAGGAATCCAACCCGCATCTCTTGCATCTCCTGCACTGGCAGGTGGATTCTTCACCACTAGCACCACCTGGGAAGCCCCAGGGAGACTTGGTTCCAGTGATTTTCTAGAGAGTTAGGAAGATATCCTCACTTCTCAGATCCCCAGGGTAGCTAAAGGGCAAACAATATACTTTCTCTCAAAGAGCTGGACCCCAAAGACAGAGCCTGCCAGCCATCTCACCACTTCCTGCTGTATGAGGCAGGCCTGTCACAAAGGCAGATTTGGCTCCTACCTGAGGCTGCAGCAAAGCCACCTGTTTCTGGAAGATGACTCGGAGGTGACCTCTTAGGGAGGACAGGAAGATGGTCTGACAGTGACGAGGCAGAGACCCGGCCACAGGGCCCAGCGTCCAGCTGAGAAGGCCTTGCTGGCCTCTCAGGGCTGGTGTGTCCCATCCCTGTGATGAAGCAGTGATGGGGGGGTGGGTACTTCTGGAAAAGAAGAGGGACAAGGTCTTTATCTTGAGATGTGGTTAGAGGAATATTCCTCCCCCGGGAATAGGAATGGAAGCAGAAGGCAAATGAAGTTTCAGGAGGGACTCAGGACCAAGAATCCAGCCCAGGATGTCTCAGCTGTGGCTCTCTGGACATTTGGGGCCAGGTACCTAATTCTTTGTTGTGTGTGTGTGTTGGGGTGGGGAGTGAGTGTTGTCCTGTGTCTTGTGGAAAGCTCAACAGTGTCCCTGGCCTCTGCCCGTTAGATGTGGTAGCCTCCCGCACCCCCAGCTTTGGTGACCAAAAAATGCCAGGTGTCCCCGGGGGACAGAATCGCTCCTGGTTGAGAGTCTCGGTCCAGCTGTCTCCTGGAGCAAGTGTCCCCCGCGTCTGCCTGGCCGGCTCCCAGACCCCACCTCCTCTTCCCCCTGTGTCAGGACTCTCCTGTTTTTAGCTCTGAAACCCCCACGCCCCTTCAGGCACAGGAGACCTGGGAAAGGTAGTCATTCTCCAGACTCCCCAGCATCGGCAGGAGGCCCCCCCACTGTCCTTGAGTCCATGAGTACTGTCACCCGGCCCCTGCATTCCCGTCCCTATAATCCTACTGTCCACTTCCTCCGTAACGCAGCACTTCTGGCCTCCTGACATACTATTTGGGCTTCCCAGGTGGCGCTAGTGGTAGAGAAACCGCCCCTGCCAATGCAGAAGCCTCTTCCCTAGGTCGGGAAGATCCCCTGGAGAAGGAAATGGCGATCCGCTCCAGTATTCTTACCTGGAGAATCCCATGGATAGAGGAGCCTGGTGGGCTACAGTTCATGGGCCACATCGACTGAAGCGACTTGGCATGCATGTATGACATACTATTTACTTTCGTGTGTTATTTACTGCCTGCCCCTCCTCTGCCAATCCCCCCACCACCACCACACACACCCATAAAAGCTACTTCAGAGCTGGGATCTCTGCTTATTTCATGGCTGTGTCCCAAGCACCCATAATAGTGAAGGCCCATGGGGGATGCTGAAGCAGCGTTGTTTGAAGGACCAGGACTCGAAAACCATCATGAGTATCTGTGACTTCTGTCATCGCTCCACTGGTGGTTATTTCCACTTTCCCAGCATGGTTCTGCTGGCCACAGGAAGGGTCGTTAAGGCACAACTGTGCCCAGACCAGCCCTCAGGCCACCTCCAGAACCACCCACCCCCACCCCGCCCTGATCACATCCATTGCCAACCTAGGTGGACAAGGACAAAGCAATTATAAATCTGATCCTTCCTTCTCAGTATTGGGATTAAATCCAGGCAGTAGGATTGTGGATGATTTTTGACATTTCTGCATTTTTTTTCTTCAGATTTACAACAATGAACTTGCATTTATTTAATGATGAGAAAAAAAAAAACACAGCAAAATATAAACCTTACTCAGTTTGTGATTTTCACCTTGAAGGTCCCAAATAGGGGCTGGGGTCAGGCTCTTCTGTAGGACACGCTGAGGTCTGCCTGGGGGGGTGCCTTCCCATCAGTGAGCGGTCTGTGAAATGGGCTGTTGACTTCTTGTTTTTCAGATTGTTTGCAAAGATCAGTGGACATCCTGGATACACCAGACAGCCAGTGGCAGAGGTGCGGGAATGGGCTTATTGTTAGGGCAGCTCTGACCAGCCCCCAGAAGTGTGTCATGGCCTAGGAGGCCTGAACAGTTACCCCGTCTCTCCAAAGGATCGTGCCACAGGAAACCTGACTTTGAGGCTGTCGTTCAGCTACCATCACCGTCAGGCCTGTGATTAGCCATGTCTGGTGGGCTTCAGAGGCCCTGCTTGGCTGCCGCCTAACAGCCAAGTTCCCAGGACCCTATTAGGAGAGGCACCGATGCCCTGGTTTCTCATGAGAGACCATCGTGACATGTATTAACAGCTCTGAAATCCTGAGACCCACCAGGCCTGACGTTAATAAGCAATGTTCCCCCTGTTTCTTTCCTGTTCCCTCTCCAGAAGTGGCTCCTCGTGAAGAAGATTGTCATGACAACCTGAGCGCGGGTACCACGGCAGGCGGGCAGCCACCAAGGGGCCCCGCGTCTGGATGAAAGAGCCTGATGAAGTTGAGGCCGCGGAGCTCGGCGGTGTGAAATCCAAGTGAATGTCGAAGGTCACGGCTGGTTTCATGAACAGAAAGCTGGGTTAGGGGCTTCTCCACACACAGGTTCCCGGCCCCGGAGAGGTCTGAAGTATGCTCAGAGCCTGCGTGGACCTGGTCCTGCCCCGGGGTTTCTGGTCTCTTTGTGCCTTCAACCCAGGTAACCTTGGTGCCAACAGGGGAGCAGCGCTCCTTTGATGCCTCTGACCCAGAGCTGTTGGAGGAAGCAGGTTGCTGATCCCAGCAGAGCTGTGAGAGCGCTGTACAAAGCCTGGCGTGCTGTTTGGGACAGTGAGTTCTCTGTGGTCTGGAAAAGAAAGAGCAGGCTCAGTCTCCTCTCCCTGGCTGTGCGGGCAACCTCTTAGCCTCCAGACCCCTATCCAGTCTCCAAGGTGGAGCTCCTCCTGCCCGGAGGCAGACGACCCCCGCACCCAAGGCACTCTTCCTAGTCCTTCTGACCAGAAGATCCGAGATCCCTGGAAACCAGCTTCTGCAGTGGAAAGGACAGGCCTTGCTTGTCAGGATGCCCTGGATGGAATCCCGACCCTGTCCCCCACCCTGTGTGGCCTCGGGCAAGTCACAGAAACTTCTCCAAAATGTATGCTCTCTCTCACACTCCAGGTTTCCAGGCCCAAGCGGCACTAGGCTGACCTCTCAGCGGACACTTCTAAGCGCTATACACACGCCCCTCACCTGGTCCCCACTATGGACCAGCTCTATTATCATTAAGTCCCATTTTATAGATGAGGAAACTGAGGTCCAGAGATGTTAGAGTTCTTGCCCCAAATTGCACACCCATGAGAGGCAGAGCCCAGAATTGGACCCAGGTGGTCTGACTCCACGTCTGTAAATAGTTAGCCCCATGCTGGATTGTTCTAGAGCCTTCACCAGCTCCTGCAGGACCCTCACCAATCTTGGCTTTCACCACGCGCCCCTGTCCCTACGTTCCACTCACCCAGGCCTTCCTGAAGCAGCCAAGCCCACACTGACCTCGGGGCCTTTGAGTCCGCAGACCCACTGCCCAGGTCTCCCTCCTCCTCAGCGCCTGGCTGCATCCTTTGCCTACTCACCTCCTCACAGGCTATGGGACCAAGAAGGGAATCGCCGAGTCTTCCGTCTCGGCCTCCTGTTAACTTGGAGGTGTAACTAGCCAGTCCATTCCCACCAGGGGGTCTCACTGTCACCCACTCCTGTCTGCTCTGGGGGATGATCCATTCCATGCTCTAGTCCCAGTCCATGCCCCCTTGTGGTCCACAGTAAGCTCGATTTAGGTCAAATCCTCTAGCTTGTTTTCTCATCTGTAAAATGGAAGAAACAACACTGACATCCTAGGGCTGTTGTTCGGAGCCAACGAGAGAGTGTACACATGGCCTGCATGGCCCTCAGCTTCTGTCATTATTAGCATCACAGCGGAGGTGGGGGCGGTGATGGGGGAACTTGTTTGCAAACAGCTGTCCTACTAAGGAAACTTCACACACACAGAAACACAGAACTATAGCAATCCTGGAATGGCATCCCAGCCATTTCTTCACCTGGATCTCAGACCTATTTGTCTGCCTGTTTTGAAAACTGGAAAGGCTGCATATAAAATTATAGAGATAATCTGAGCTTTTAGATGACATTATCTGCCTGACTCTAGAGATTTACTTTTGCTTCGAGTAGGCACTTCGGCCAGGGGTAGATTATCTTAATCCGTCCTGTATGAGCTGATTCAAAGCTGGTTTCAGTCTGTGAAGGCTGGCCCATTCCTGGTTCACCCTTGTGGCCGGCAGTAACCCCTCTGTTGCCCCACCCAAAGGCCTGGAGCATTTCCTAAGCCCCCTCTGCTTCTTGGCAGAACCCAAACCCAAATGTTTGTTTCTGCAGTCTTTTTTCGGTAGACTAAAAGTTCTAACCAATTCCTCAGCCCCTCATCTGGCACATAGAAATTGGCAAATGCCTTGTGGGGTAGGGGATGGGAAGGCTACCCTCTCTGTAATACCCTCATCTTCTTGATTTTGGCCCCTCAAATCCCAGCACCCCCGGGAGCACTCTGATACCTTCAAAAAAGTTTGTAAAAAATATTTTATCTGGTTTTTCTAGCCTCAAGAGAGGCGGGTTGGATCCTTAGTTATCTCAAGGTGGGGGTTGATATGATATAAGCTAGTCCACCATATTGGAAGTGAACATCTCTATTTGAGTTATTCCTCATTTATGTTTTTTTTCCCTAATTGTTCTGTTTTCCAATGCTTTGGGTTTTTTTTTAATTTATATATATTTTAATTGTAGGGTAATTATTTTACAATGTTGTGTTGTTTTCTGCCATACATCAACGTGAATCAGCCACAAGTATCTTATGCTTTGTTAATTTAAAGGTCTCACCAGAGTGTCTGGGGGAGGTGAGAATCCACATTTTTCATGCTAGTCCAGGATCAAATTCCTCAGGAGGCAGACAGGGAGGGTGAGGAGGGTGTCTGGCCATGGATTCAGGTGGCACCTTGTCCTAAACCAAGGTCAAAGAAGGTATGTGGACTGAAGGTTTCTACAGCAGCTGAATTCTCCAGGCATTTTTCTTCAACAAGTCCACAAACTAGTTCGATTAATGCTAACTCTTCCTCCAGATAATGCAGTTTAGAAGCAAGGTAAGAGGGCCATCTCCTGGTAAGAAATATGGTGATGTTGAGGCCTACAGAGATTCTCAAACTGTGCAGGACCCTGAGGGTCCCGAGAAGAGCAGGTTTGGGAAGGTGTTCAGAGGGAGTGGGGCCCTGTCTCTGTCTTCAACCAGTCCAGCTCCCTCTTGGTCTATTTTATGCACTGGGTTTCTGACGGAGGTTTCCACCATGTGGACTCTGAGAAATTGTTCCATCAAAAAACTTTGAAACAGTTTCATCTTATTGATAATCTGAGTTCTCTAGACAGAAGTGACTTTCCTAGGGCCTTACAAATGGTTCCTGTAAAGCCAGGACATAAACCAGCTGTTCTGATCATGGATCAGGCACTTTCCACCACCTCACACCGAGTCACCTGGAGATTCAGTTTCCCAGAAGGTCCTTTGCCTTAAAAACAATGTTTCTCTTGAAGACCTCTCTTTTTGTAGAATTCTGCGGGCCCTTCTCACAAGCTCCCCCTAGAGGACATGGAATGAACAAAGCTGCCATCTTCTACTGATGGGACCAGAGGCAGCAGACCTCCCTGGAAGCAAAGTGATGCCCTGCCTCAGAGACCCTAGGAAACCCTGCATCCTAGCTCCCAACAAGTCAGGCCACCTCACTGGTCCCTTCTCCTCCATAAAATTAGAAATCCAGAAGGCCAAAGATCTTTGCACCTTCCTGTGGAAGGCCCCTCACAGAATCTCCCCCAAGAGGGCTTGAATCACCTGGATATGGACACATGATCCATCCTTCTCTTGGGAAGCCAAGGATGTCAACAGCTCCAAGAGAGGAGCTCTGTCTCTGAGACCAGGGAGGAGGATATACAGCATCAGTGTTCTGGGCTAAAGTGTGCAGTGCTTAGTTGCTCAATCATATCTGACTCTTTGCGACTCCATGGACTCCTCTGTCCATGGGATTCTCCAGGCAAGAATACTGGAGTGGGTGGCCATGCCCTCCTCCAGGGGACCTTCCCAACCCAGGGATCGAAACCAGGCTAAACCGTGTCCCCCACCCCCCCCACCCCCACCACCCAAATTCCTGTGCTTCCCCTGATAGCTCAGTTGGTAAAGAACCCACCTGCAATGCAGGAGACCCCGGTTCAACTCCTGGGTCGGGAAGATCCATTGGAGAAGGGATAGGTTGCCCACTCCAGTATTCTTGGGCTTCCCTTGTGGCTTAGCTGGTAAAGAATCCACCTACAATTCGGGAGACCTAGATTTGATCCCTGGGTTGGGAAGATTCCCTGGATAAGGGAACAGCTACCCACTCCAGTATTCTGGCCGGGAGAATCCCATGGACTGTATAGTCTATGGGGTCACAAAGAGTCGGACACAACTGAGCAACTTTCACTTTCACCCAAATTCCTATATTGAAGTCCTAACTCCCAGTACCTCAGAATGTGACTGTATTGGATGCAGGACCTTTAAGGAGGTTAATTAAGATACTGAGATCACCATTTTGGGTCTTAGTCCAATATGACTGGTGCCCTTGTGAGAAGCCAAGGGGAGAAGCCACAGGAGAAATCAGATCTGCTGACACCAGGATCTTGGATTTCAGCCTCCAGAGCCGTGAGGAAATGAATGTCTGTTGTCTGTCACCCAGCCTGTGGCCCCTTGTTACGGTGGCCCTAGCAATCTAACACAATTGGCAAATTCCCTGCTCAGCAGCGTCCCCCACCTTGTTGGGAATTACTCCTGTTTGCTCTTTTGACAATCTCTCCTGTGAATGAATTGGAGAGAAATTCAATCCTTAGAAAGAGTGAGATAAATAAAGTTATAATGAGATGCTGCTATGGACCTACCATTTCTGCCCTGGGGGAGAAGTCACAGCAATGAAGACCCAGTGTGGCCAAAATTAAATAAGATAAAATAAAGATATTTAAGTTCTTTGTCCTCAACTGCAAAGGTAGGATTAAAACAGCTTCCTTGCCCTGGTGCTGTAAGCATTGTGTTCAGTACATGGTTAAGCTTGGGCATAGTCAGAAATAATTTTTGAAAATAACATACAGTTGCATGACATACAGGCATAAACATATCTATTTCATGAATATCCTGTGACAAAGCTGAATGTAGAGATCTGGGCTTCCCAGGTAGTGCTAGTGGTAAGGAACCCACCTACCAATGCAGGAGACTTAAGAGCCGTGGGTTCGATCCCCGGGTCAGGAAGATCCCCTGAAGGAGGGCATGGCACCCCACTCCAGTTTTCTTGCCTGCAGAATCCCACCGACAGAGGAACCTGGAGAGCTCCAGTCCATAGGGTCACAAGAGTCAGACACGTCGGAGGCGACTTAGCAGGCACACAATGAAAGGATACAATAGCAGTTGATTTTTCATTGAGAGGGCAAAAGTGGTGTCTTTCTCCAGCCCAGAA